CCTGTATTTCGGCATCTATCTCTGCTAAAGTTGTGTCAAGACTTCTGTCAGTCAGAAGAAGGTCAGATGATGGACACCCCTGAACAGGTTCCCTGGGCACTTCCTCAGCCTCATCACCCACTTCATCTTGAGTTAAGTCTAAAATTTGCTCAGCTGGAAAGGACTTGGCCTCAGTAGCGCCCTTGGGTTTTCTCACCAAGGCTTCACCTTCATCTTTCTCTTCGTCTTCACCCTCAGCTTCTACCTCGGTCTCTGATTCATCCTCAGCTCACCAATGACTTACTCTTAGCTCGAGTTTCCGCTTCTTTCGAAGAACGAAGAGAGAAGGCTGCAATTCAGCTTGCAGTATACCAGCAACAGCTTGCCAGAGCTTACAACAAGAAGGTTAATCCAAGGGATTTTCAAGTTGGCGACTTAGTCCTAAGAAAAGTCGTCGGAAACAAGAAGGATCCCAGGGAAGGCAAGCTTGGCCCGAACTGGGAAGGACCCTACAGAGTTACTTCGGTACTAGGCAATGGAGCATATCGGCTTGAAGACAATGAGGGCAAAGCACTACCCAGACCTTGGAATACTTGTAACTTGAAATTCTTCTATCATTAGATAAACATCATTGTTTGGCCGATATTATCAATAAAGTCTTTTCAAGATTCTTTCAACGTGTATGATTAATGGTTTATTGAAGACATATCAAACTCAGGCAAGATAAGCCGATATTTTTCCTTGATCCACTTCTTGAAATTTGTAGCAATTTACAAGTTGGAATCAAGCTGATTCCTTATCTTCACTTGTTGAAATTTGTAGCAATTTACAAGTTGAAGTTAAGCCGATGTTTTTCCTTGATTCACTTGTTGAAATTTGTAGCAATTTACAAGTTGGAATCAAGCTGATTCCTTACCTTCACTTGTTGAAATTTGTAGCAATTTACAAGTTGAAGTTAAGCCAATGTTTTTCCTTGATCCACTTGTTGAAATTTGTAGCAATTTACAAGCTGAAGTTAAGCCGATGTTATTTCTTGATCCACTTGTTGAAATTTGTAGCAATTTACAAATTGGAATCAAGCTGATTCCCTATCTTCACTTGTTGAAATTTATAGCAATTTACAAGTCGAAGGTAGGCCGAGGTTATTGCGTAAGTTCTCATAGCAATATGAGGGTTGTCTGAACCCTAGAGAAGATGCTTAACACTTGTTGAAAGTTGTAGCCATTTACAAGGTTATGTTAAACCGACGTATGATCACCCGCTGAGGTATACAGAAAATTAACGGGTCAATGCAAAGGTTAAGTATATTATTTAAACACTTGTTGAAATTTGTAGCAATTTACAAGTAGGTTAGAACGAAATCATTGTTTAAATACTTATTGAAAACTTAAAAAATGACAAAAGTATACATTGAGTAGTATATGTTTAGTTCTTGACAGAATTTATACAAGGTTTGCAGGTCAGTATCTCGCCGAAGTAAAAGCCTTGCAGTTATACCCAGGGTATGTAGCCCCGAGAAGATTGCACAAAGAAAGCATGTAAAAATTTCTAAGTATAGAACTATGCAAAAGCAAGCAACAGAACATCACAAGATCAAAAATATCCATTGCAAGAACAGTTGCAATTACATACTGAAAAAGGCACATTGGCCATGAGAAGGAATGTACATTGTTCAGGAATTAAAAGAAAAAACAAAGTCCAAAATCCAGAAAAGAAAGAAGGGAAAATCAAGACTCTTGAACATCAGCAGCAGCAGAAACTGGAACCTCGGATGATTCAGCTGGAATATCCTCGGCCACCTTCTCCGCTCGTATTTCGGCATCTATCTCTGCTAAAGTTGTGTCAAGACTTCTGTCAGTCAGAAGAAGGTCAGATGATGGACACCCCTGAACAGGTTCCTTGGGCACTTCCTCAGCCTCATCACCCACTTCATCTTGAGTTAAGTCTAAAATTTGCTCAGCTGGAAAGGACTTGGCCTCAGTAGCGCCCCTGGGTTTTCTCACCAAGGCTTCACCCTCATCTTTCTCTTCGTATTCACCCTCAGCTTCTACCTCGGTCTCTGATTCATCCTCAGCTTGACTTGGAGGAAGAAATGGTAGAAGATTAGCATCAACTTGGCGCAATGGCGAGTCAGCAGGGAGATCAAGCTTCTTTATCAGAGACATCCAACCAAGGGAAAATCCCCTGTTGCATGCCTGCCTGACTTGAAGTTTGTATTCTTCTGCAACGTCGGCCATGCCTTGAGCATAGGCCTTTTCATCGGCCTCTCTGACTTCGGCCTCCTTGGTGGCCAAAGCTTGTTGAAGTTCTTTTTGCGCTTGGACCTTCTGAGCCTCGGCCTCCCTTTTCTCGGCTTCAGCTACTTTTTTAACGGCCTCAGCAGCTTCGGCCTTTTCAAGAGCTAAGGTTTCGTTCTTCGTTGCAGCCTCGGCTTGATCTTCCAGTTTTTTCATTTTTACTTCAAGGGCCCTTAATTCTCTCTTCATTGAAGTTGCTTCCCTCTTCATATCAACCAATCTTTGACGATTCTCAAAGGATTGCATTGAAAATGAATGGGCATGTTGGATAGCCTGAATGAAAACAAGAGTATCAGAGAGTGTTCCCAGAAAGAAACAGAAGGAAAAAACACAAAAACAAACAGAAATACTTACTTGGGCAGAGTGTTGGAGCATCAGAGCGTAATTTTCATACTCACTGAACTTGGCATTTCGCTCCAAATCATTCGGTAGAAGAAGAGCAGTGCTAAGGGCAACAGCAACGTTGATATCATCAGCACTTTCACTAGCCATGATAGGCCTGTCCTCCAGAGAAAGATCAGGGGCCCATGGGATGTCAGGCTTCTTTGAAGCCGAGGTCGTCGCAGACGATGACCTTGGCCTCTTTGTTTGTGTAGATCCTGAGGGTTGGCCCTCAGCAGACCTTTTGGTTGAAATAGAGGCTGATTTTTTACTTTCAGCTAGTTTCGAGATCGGCAGAGCATCCTCAGCCTCGGCGTCTGTAGCCTTGGCCTTAGGCTGAGCCTTTTTTACCCTCTTCGGTTTGGGTGGAAGCATTGATTGCGTTGCTGCGGCTTCGGCGTCAGCTGGAATGTCGGCAAGAAGATCTTGGACGACAGGCCTCGGACGAACCATCTCGGCAGTCTTTACTAGCCTTCGTCGACGTTTACGTTCAGGAATTGGTATAAGAAGGGGGCCGAAGTTGATGGAAGATCGGCTGGGTCAGATGTGGACTCTTGATCTGTCCGAGATGTAGAAGCAGTTAAGGTTGTGGCTGTAGGTGGAGAAAGGCTCTTTTTCCTTTTTCTTGGGACGTCGGGTAAGGTGGATTTGTATGTAGGGATGAAGTTTAGTAATACTGGGGCTTTTCGTTTATGGATTGGGAGGCCAAGAAGTGTTTTCAGATCTGTTCCTGGGAAGAAGGATTGGCGAAAATTTTTCGGTGGTTGATGAAGATCTGCAAAGAATCAGACGTCAGAAACAACAAAAGTATTTAAGTGTTGAATGAAAACAACTAAGTGTTGACTCAGGGCTCTTACTCTTGCCCTCTGTAAGTGTTCGAGGAAGAGGGTAAAGGTGGACATCTTCATCTGGGCCAAATTCCCAATTTCCAGAGGCAATAAGATAGTCATCTCCAGCCCCCTTGTTGGAGTCTGGAAGGTCGGCTATAATCTTGTACTGAGTGGATCTCGGCTTAAGGTAATATACAAAACCCCTATCCTTCAGATCAAGAGGGCACATGGTATAACAATATTGAAGGTCGGCGAGGGTGATTCTGAGGTTTTCTTGCCTAGCTAAGGCTATAATACCATTAATTATCCTATAGGAATTGATAGTAAGTTGCATGGGGTTTAGCTTATAGAAATAGAGAACTTGACGAAAAAGGGGATCGAGTGGAAGCCGAAGTCCACATTCGATAAAAGAAACTATTGGAAAAGGCATTGTATGGTCTGTAGGCACGATAGTGTCATTATCCCCAGCCAGCTTAAGATGAACGTCGGCTGGGATAGAGAATTCTTGCCTAAAGTATTCAAGACTTGTTGGGGTATTTACCCTGTGCCTCCACATACCCATTGTGTCGGCCTAAATTAAGAGGAATATGTTTCAGAAGACGGGCGTTTTTCAGGTTTCCCTAAAGATTAAGGGTTTTACAGACAAATCCCAAACCGAAGAACTATTAAGATAAAGATCGAGGGCACAGATCTGGGGCAGATACAAAAAAGAGAAAACAAAAACGAGGTTTCAGATTCAAGAACAGAGGTATAATTTTCAGAAACAATAGAGGTACAGGAAAAAATCAAGAACAGCGGCGAAAAGAATGATGGAAAAGCGTAGAGGTTCAAAATATAGCCACAAAATTCAAGATACAAATAGATCCCAGACCTCGAGTAAGATCAGCAATGGCAACAGACTGGCAATAGCGCATAAAGAGAATGAAAGAAATTAAAGGAAGGGGACTTACCAGGAGAAGTGAAGCCAAGGCAATACTCGTCGAATCCAGAAACCAGTTGCGACAGCAAAAAAGGCTTTGCAAAAAATATGGGACTAAGAACAGTTCCAGAGAAGAAATTGAAGCAATGGCAGATTTGAAGAGGAAGAACGAGCTTTCGGAAGAGAAAGAGTAAAGAAGATGAAAAGAAAAAGTGAAGAAAAGATAGAAGCAAAAGAAGTTTTGTCAAAAATTTGAAACGGCGGCAAAAATAGGGCAATTATTGCGCCTAGGGTAACGCACGCGTCAGACGGTGCAGACGAACGAACAGACAGCTTCCAGGCGCGTCACTAACACGCTCAAACAAAGACGAAACACGTGGAAGGAACAGTTAGACATGAATGACAGCTCATGTGCATAGGGGAGTACAACCGATGCCACGTTCTCCGAAGAGAACACGTCGGCTGAAAGAAGATAATCTTGGCAAAGGCAGTCTTCTTGAGCTATTATTCAGAAAGGAAGTGACAAAAAATTCGGAATAGGTTCCATCACCTCAGAATTCCGAGGTAATAGAACCTAGGGGGCAGTTGTGGGGAAATTGTTCCTAACTGTGGGGACATATTTTTTGAATACCAACACGTGGCATGGTGACGCCGACGTGTCAGCCGAGGTGCCACGTGGACATTAATGAACATAAAAAAATATATTTATGCTCCTAATCTCATAAAAGTAGATTTTTTTTCTCCTCTACAAATATTCATGTATATAGTGTATATACATACATATAAAAATATATACATGATTAAAGGAAACACGAAAATATCCATCAACTTGCTCTGATACCAATGTAAACAAAGTATAACGCAGCGGAATAAAAAATTATGGTCATATTTTATAAACAGAGTCAGAATTGAAGGATCTCGTGGGTAAATCACGTGCTTCCAGAATCTGATAAACCAACCCAGCAGTGAAGTGATATTACAGAATGAATATCACCAACACAAATCACAGTGCAAATGACTTGATTGTTGTTTTGGGGAGAGAGTCACTATATGGGTAAAACTCAGATCATACGTTGTTTCTCTCTTAATCACCCATAACCCATATACTAGATATATATTTTGTTATTATTATCTATCCATATCAGTTAATGGAGATAATATCTGTATCCTGAGTGGTTATTCTAAATAGGTTTAAATTCAATTTCAAAATCTATTTGGATAAGGTTCAAATTTAAATTCAAATGGTCATGCCACATGGGCGCCCACCACTAACAGTTTATAAGTCTTACAATGGTTTCACTGATTTTAGTTTATAAACATATTTACATCTATTTTATTAGAAGATTTCATATTTCCTATTACTATCTCTCTCTTGTGATGATAATCAATTAGTCATAGGCTCAACAGCATTTGGACAATATTGGCTAAGGGGATTCACTAAATTAGTTCCAAATTTTAATTTAATTTCTCAAGTGTGGGTCACTTCAATTGTGCACCTTAATTTACTTCTTGTTTCAAGTATCTGTTGTTTAAAATTGCTACTAACATATACAATAAGTCTACTAGAAAATAGTATGAAAATTGATGAGGCCAAGTGCATTTGATTTTATTTACTCCAATGCATGTGATTTACATATGTAGTGATGTTTTGAAAATGGCAGGACCTAGTTCTCATTTATGCGGTGTTTGGTTGGGGGATTTGGGGAGAAATTTGGAAAGGAAAATGGAAAGGTAGGTGAAATGTGAATAAAATATGTATATATTTTACACACATTTTTCCTTTTCCTTTCCAAATTCCTTCCTAAATCCTCCAACCAAACACACTATAAAAACAAAAAAGTGCAAAACTATGAAATCACGATTAGTGTTAATTTAACCGTCCAAAATTATTACCTTAGAATATATGACAATTCATAAAAAATTTATCATACTTGTCAAAACTAAGTAATTATCAACATACAATCGTATATTTTATGGATAATTGCAATCTAGAAATAAAATATGTAATTTGTAGCAAAATAAATTGCACACAAAGACCTCTTTTGGCAACTAGGTTAAGAGTCAATTTATTGACTTTTTAGTTTTTTTTAGTCACATTACCTCTTTATTTTTTTTGCATATTTAAATTTTTTTTTCAAAAAATCAACTTCTAACCTACTTCTTAAGATAGGCCAAAATAGCAAAAACATCTAACATAATCAAAAAAAGAAAAAAAGAAAAAGTACAACACACAATTTTATAGGTGATTCTATAAAATTGTCTAAATCCACAGCTCACATTAGTTCTACTCTGCTGAAAGGAGATAAAAAAACACAATCCTACTGCATGCGAAAATAACAAAATAACCATCTCAAACTTAGATTAAAAAAAAGAAAAAAAAAAGAAAAAAAAGCCTGTACATATCTAATTACATTTTTATTAATCTCGTCATTTTTTTTAATACACTTTTAGAATTGAATTTGTTGCTAAAAAAATTAATGTGTTACATAACTATTATTTTTTATATTTTTCTTGAAAGAAGATTCATAATTTCTTTACATTTTATCACAATTAAAATATAATTTTCACAATTAAAACATAATTTTCACAAATGTTGAAATCCTAAAAAAATTATCAAAAAAATTATACAATACTTATATAGGTGTGGATCTCATAAATATTTTTTTGATAATTCGGTATTTGATCTACTAGATCCACTAATCCAAACAATCAAGTATAAATGTGAGTCTCATATGATATAAGTTCTACACCAATATGAGTGTTATGTAAAATTTGTGATAATTTTTTAAAAGTCCTTTACCTTGTTATAATTTTAGCAAAATTCATAGATTATCAATCCAATCCTTCACTCTAGGATAACAACATGGCCACATTTAAAAAAAACATTTAAAAAAAAAAAAAAAAAAAAAATCATTTGAAAGAGGGAAACACGGGTTAACCCATTTAATCCAACCCGAGTAGAACCCTCATTCTACGGGTCCATAATAACCCTTTCAAACCCGAACCAAGCCCGTCCAAACACGTCCCCAAAACCTCTAACCCCACTTCTGCAAAACCCTTGCTCCTGGTTATCCTTGGCAATGACAACATAGAGTCGGCAAAGCATACCACAAGCACCATGGTAACTGTCCTCTCTCTCTCTCTCTCTCTCTATATATATATATATATACTAATGCTGCAACTACTCAACTCACTGTGAGTCTTTTCCGAGTGTTTGTTCTATTTATTGATTTATTTATTTAATTTACAGAGGTGGGTATTCGTCTCTGAATCATTTCTTGGACAGCTTTAATGGCGATTTCTCAATGGCTTCAGACTAGTTTATTTGCTGCCACCACCACCACCTCCACAACTACCAATTGTCGTTTTTTCTTCAGAAACTTTGCCACCTGTCCTTCTCAGCTTCGGCCCGTCATGGCTAAGGTTCTCAATTTACTCTCCTATACATATAATTTTACTTGCACACATACAAATTACAATCTTTATCTGTATATCTGTGTTTTATGTTTGACATGACAATTGAAATTGGGCAATAAGAAATGTTTTTTTTTTTTTTTTTGATCGGGAGCAATAAGAAATGTTGGTAAAACAAAAAAAAAAGTTTGTAATTTTATGTGCTTGTTTTTATTCCAGAATTTCTGGATGGAAGTGCAAGGTGATGAAAAATGATAGATTGAATTGGGCATGCTGAAAGTCCTTTCCTTTTAAGTTAACAAGAAACTCAATTTGTGCCTTTCACAAGCATTTATCAATTAGCACGCCTATTTGGTCAATTTCTTCTTTTTTTTTTTTTTTTTTTTTTTTGAGTTTGGATCAAGACATGAGAAAAGAAAGGAAATGATTGGAGTTTCTCACATAGGTGAGAAAAGAAGAGAAATGATTGTGGTTTTTCACCTTCTTATTTGGATAGACAATGATTAAAAGAGGATACGTTTGTCTTTTAATTTTACTTGCTTTGTAATTAAAAGGGTAATTAAGGTATTATAATTTTTTTGTAAAGAGTAATTTTGGTTTCTCACCAAATCTCACCGCTTTTGGTAAGTAACAAAACTTAAGTTTGGAGTGATTTATCTTTCTCACCATTACTCACCTCATTAATCATCTAAACAAGTGATGAGAAACCTCATTCTCTTCATTTCTTTTCTTTTCTCACCAATCCTCAATCCAAACGGAGTGTAGGTTCCAGCAGAATTGGATTAAGTTTACAGGCTTGTCGTTTTTTCTTTATGCATCATGTAATCCATATGTTCAATTATCCTGATTGCTTTATTGACAAATGATTTTATTTGTTTGTGGACTAACTTTAAAAACCCATATGGACCAAAGAGGCAATGGTCTTTTTTAGATAATGGTAAACAATGTTATTGTTTGATATGTAACAGTGATCGCTTCTTACTACTGTTATCCTTTTCTTTTCTTTTCTTTTTTTGTCATGCTATTCATTTTTTCTCTTTTGTTGATGGTAAGAGTTTTGTTGTTGTCTGGAATTATTGTTACAGTTGCAGAACAGGGCGTTGCAGAATTACAATTGCTCTTACTTGCAAAATTCATCATTTTGCATCGGTGATAAGTATGAAAAATGTTTCCAGCTTAGATTTAGAAAGATCAGGGTCTCTTGCATGATCAACGCCAATCAACCAAGAGTTATCAGACTTGTGTCTGAACGAAATTTTCATACTTTTGGAAGCTTTGTTGATGGGTCTACTTGGGCTCTTACCAGTCAGCCCCAACTTAAAGTTGGGCATTCTAATACCATGATGCCTTCGAATATTTTTGGTTATGGATTGAGATCACCTTATTCTGGGGCCTATATTAAGAGGCCTTTTTCTCACATTCCAAAAGCAATAACAAATAAAAATGATAATGTTGGTGTTAAAGATGGAAGGAGTAGTGGGAAAACTTCACCATTGAAGGTTTTCAATAAGCATTGGAAGCGGGCAAAGTCATTGGCTGCTCACAAGAGAAATGTCGAAGGTGGGGCGCAAGTTGCAGCTTCCAATGAGGCACTGGGGATGAATGCTTCTAGCTCTACAAAAACACCTCTTAAAGATACCGATGTGGTGAATTCAAGAAAGAAGTTAGTTGGGGATGTTACTGTGGATGCGAGTTTGGGACCGTCTGTTTCAAGTTCACATGTTAACAATAACAACAAAGTCTCCAAACCTAAAGGAAAACAGAATCAGCAGTCAAGGAGCAAGAAAAACAAAGAACAATGTTCTGGAGCTAATGCTGCTTCTGATGCAGCAGCTGAGCCAGGAGCTTCTAAAAGAGTTTCTCAAGCAAACAAATCCAATACAAGCAAAAAGAACCAGTCTTCACCTGCTTCAGACGTTAGCAAATTTCACTTGTATAATTATCAAGTTTAGTTTTTATTTTGTTGCATTGTGTTAACTAACACTGCAGTTTTTCAGAATAATTCTAACGGGAACACACCCATGGAAGTGGCTGATAGTTCTGTTTCAACAAAGCAGCAGTCTGAAAGGACAACTGGGAAATCTCGTAGAAAGGGAAAATCTATAAAAGAAACTAATGTTTTAGTCAAAACCCATGAAGCACCACAAGTTTCATCTGGCAATGAGCTGGCACAGAAAAAAACCCCCCACACGAATGGCAAAGCTAAGCCTCAGGGACAAATGAGAATGCAGCTGTTGTATCCTCCTACTGGGAAATCTGTGGTGGTTGTGGAGTCTGTCACAAAGGCAAAAGTTATTCAGGCCTACCTGGGTAACATGTTTGAAGTTCTACCTAGCTATGGTCATGTAAGAGACTTGGCTGCAAGGTCTGGATCTGTGCGGCCTGATGATGATTTTAGTATGGTATGGGAGGTTCCATCTGCTGCTTGGACTCATCTTAAGAGTATCAAGGTTGCTCTAAGCGGGTATGATGCTTTCTTTCTTTTTAATCGCTGTTGTCAGAAAATTATCTGTGTGGCAACTGAAGTATTTTGAAATGAACATTTGTATGGTTATAATCAACAATTCACCATATGGTTGCTGAATCAGATTCTTTTTAATGTGCTTTGATAATTCAATCTAAGATCTTTTAGCTGTGATAGAAAATGGTTTTGTCATTTTTAAGTAGGCTATCTTTTTATCTTGTTTAATTGTTTTTGGTGTGCCATTTTCTCACATTCTCTTCCTTGTTCCTCAGAGCAGAAAATCTTATTCTTGCATCAGATCCCGATCGTGAAGGAGAGGCTATTGCTTGGCACATCATTGAGATGTTGCAGCAACAAGATGCTTTATGTGAAGATATTAATGTAGCGAGGGTTGTCTTTAATGAAATAACTGAATCTTCTATCAAAAGTGCCTTGCAGGCCCCACGAGAAATTGATGTAAACTTGGTTCATGCTTATCTTGCTCGGCGGGCTCTTGATTACTTGATTGGATTCAACATTTCACCATTGTTATGGAGAAAATTACCTGGTTGCCAGTCAGCTGGACGAGTCCAATCTGCTGCTTTATCTCTTATATGCGATAGAGAAATGGAAATAGATGAATTTAAGCCACAGGAGTATTGGACAGTTGGAGTTGAGTTTAACAAAATGAACAACTCTTTTTCATCAAATTTGATTCAATTTGATTCCAAAAAGTTAAACCAACTCTCAATTAGTTCTCAGACAGAGGCCAAGGACATTGAAAAGAAGATTAAGTCATCTAATTTCAAAGTGGTTGGATCTAAAAGAAACAAAATTCGGAAAAACCCTCCGACTCCTTATATAACATCAACACTACAGCAAGATGCTGCAAACAAATTACATTTTAATGCAACGTATACGATGAAACTGGCACAGAAACTGTATGAGGGTGTTCAATTGTCAGATGGCAGGGCAGCTGGATTGATAACATACATGAGAACAGATGGATCGCACATTTCTGATGAAGCTTCAAAGGACATTCGCTCCTTGGTTGTTGAAAGATATGGACAGAATTTTGCATCAGAGAGTACTCGTAAATATTTTAAGAAGGTGAAGAACGCTCAAGAGGCCCATGAGGCAATTAGACCCACTGATATCCGGAGATTGCCCTCAATGCTCGTTGGAATACTTGATGAAGATTCTTCGAAGTTGTATGCTCTTATTTGGGCTCGTACAATGGCGTGCCAAATGGAACAAGCTAGCATTGATCAGATACAAGTTGATATTGGGAATGCTGATCAGTCCATTACTCTTCGATCAACATGCTCGAGAGTTGGATTTCTTGGATACCAGGTAGTCTACAACGATTTGGAAACTAGAGCAATAAGATCTAACGAAAATGAAGGAAATGATCGCAATGAAGCTTTTGAAGTTCTCAGCAATCTGAAATCAAGGGATTCATTGTGTCTTGGTGAAGTGGAACTCAAGCAGCACCATACACAGCCTCCGCCACGCTACTCTGAGGGATCATTGGTTAAAAAGCTGGAGGAGCTTGGCATAGGAAGACCTTCCACATATGCAAGTACACTGAAAGTTTTACAGGATAGAAATTATGTGACTGTAAAAAGTCGAATATTATATCCAGAATTTCGTGGTCGCATGGTCTCAGCATTTTTGTGCCACCATTTCTCTGAGATCACAGATTATAGTTTTACCGCCGATATGGAAACAGAACTTGACAATGTTTCTGCGGGATTGACTGAATGGAAAGGCCTACTCAGAGATTATTGGACAAGGTTCAGAAAATATTGTGATCGTGCTGCTGTTGTCCATATTCATCAGGTGGAGAAGATGTTGGAAAAAACATTTGGGGATTTCTTGTTTTCTTCTCTTCCTGATAAAAGCAGGTCATGCCCAAGTTGTTTGGAAGGCACATTGATTTTCAAAGTTAGTAGGTTTGGTGCTGGTTATTTTATAGGCTGTGATCAACACCCAAAGTGCAAGTGAGTATGATCTTGCATGATTTTAATTTTTTTCCTTCCCCATTTCATATGTATATGCATGTATTTTCACTCATTTATGTTTTATTTTATGCTGGTGCAACTTTTCTGTGCGTATGCATGTGTGATCATCTGTGCCAGTGCATGTTTGTCATATTTAGTTGTTCTCTCTAATTATTTTCCTTCTATTTTATCTTTTGCTCATATAAAGTATGCTACAAACACATTTTGTTCTTTCTTTTCTTTCCCGAAGTCCATATTATGAGTGTTCAGGCACTATCTGGCGATCTGTGGTTCTGCCTTTGTGCTTGGTGAAGGTTTTGAAGGATTGTATCTATTTTTACTTAAATCATTGGTAGCATAGTAGTCCATAAACCAAGAAGTTGTGAAACCTACTCAAATATTTGTTCCAATAATGCTTTTGTTCCGAAAATGGTGGTTTAGGAGGTATCCTTTATATGGATGTATGGTGACTCTAGATATCAAATATATAAAGCAAAGTGTATAGGCCCCGTTTGGTGTAGCTGTTAAAACAGCTTATAGATTATAGCTTAACAAATTATAGATTATGACTTTAATCAAAAGTTGTTAATCTGTTTGGTGTAACTGTTGGGTTATAGATTTAAGTTGCTGAGTAGTGTTTGTTAAATAAGCTGTGAAATAGCTTTTTCAATTAATTTTTATTTTTTGTTTGTCAACATTTCTCATAAAAAATAATAATAATAATCTATAGTCCATTTGGGTCTTTTTCTATTTTTAAAAAAATTTAAAATAAAAAAATTTAAGAGTATAACCATAAATTAACATGTCCACAGCAGAAGCTGATAATCAGAAGCAAGGGGTGAGCAGCTTCTCAGAATCAGCTTTTTTGAGTTAAAATAAGCTGTTAGAATCAGAAGCTGTTTGAAATAAGTTTAATCAAACAGTCCAAAATAACTTTTTCAAAGCTAAAAGCCATAAGTTGGCTCTGAAAAGCTGAAACAAACGCCCCCATAAGAGATCTCTATAGGAAACTAAAGAAAGAGTAACAATAACTATCACATGTTTTTTATGTTGCTTGAGTGGTCACTGTATTGGTGTTTTCTTTTTTCTAAGGTTTTACTGTTTATGACTGTGCATGGTTTAGTATAGAAATACGAGGGTTAGAGGAAGGCTAGCTCTCATAAATTACCTTCTAGTGTTTTCTACCTTTTTGTGTTTTCTATTATATTTTGTCACCACCCCTACTTGTTTCAAATATGATTTCATTTTTTGCATCCCAACCTATGTGGCTAAGAGTGGAGAAGTTTAAATGGATCTCCCATGTGGTAGTTGCATGATGAATTTGCATATCGATTAATGTAGTTGACTTGATGTAGTTTGTGGTCTGTAATGCTGTCAGGGCAGTGTTTGAGCATTAGGAAGTTCAGGTTGTTAAACCAGCTTTATCAGGGTAAGTAGCTGTGAGATGCATTAAAGAGAATAGCATGAAACTTAGAATAGTGCTTCTTACTGTTGATTTTGTGGTACACTTGGTGAAAGAAAGGTCATAGGGTTTGCAAATGAAGGCGGTCAGAATTGTCTTGTTTTTAAAAGTGAGAACAATTTGAGGAACAATGTGCTAGAATTTCTGGCCATTTTTTTTTTCACGATATGGTATTGAATAAATGGAAAAAGGTAGGAAAAGTGGTTCTAGGGAAAGTGTGATGAACACTTTCTTTCCTAATATTTTACTAGATTGATTTAGGCTGGTGTATGATGGGATCTCTTTCAGAAATAGTCTGAAAGCTTAGTAAAATAGTTTGTGAAAGTGTAAAGGGGTAAATTTCTGCACTTTTGATTGGACATAAACAGACAATTTTTGCTGTTTTAACAGGTGCTGTTAACGGTGCATGAATAGATGTAACTTGTAAGTGCTGGTTGGTTTCCTTTCATGGTGATAGCTTGGGTGTTTTGAGTACAAGCATGGTTGGCTTCTTAAATAGGTATTTTAAGGGGTAGAACAATTTTTGATCAGATTCAGTTCTTGGTTTTAGAAGGCTTTAAGGTGCAGAAATTACAAGGAAGACAAAGAAGTTAACAATACGTTCTTGCAAACATCACAACTGGAGTTAGATTTGAATCACACAATCCTTAGAAAGCATAATAGTTGGATAAAGTCTTTAACATTCACCATTGAATTAGAAAAATTGTATTACTTCATATAGCTTGAGATAACCCCTAATCTAGACAATGACTCCAATCCAATGGTAGAAACTAATGACTTTGACTTCTAGAAAAACAACCAACAATTGCATTGTCAAAGTGAGACCAATTTACTACAATGTTTCATGGGTGACCATTATAGTCCATGTAGGACAAAATATCAAAGCTATGAAAATGACCCCAGTCCAAGACCTTGAAAAAAAGGAAAAGAAAAGAACAACAATTTATAATTTTGACGAGCACCACAAGAACACAAAGAAACCAAAATAGAAGGTTTGATTCAAACTGAAACTTGATTTCTAGTGGCTCCAAGTGAGTCATGGCTCAAAACAATGATGATTTTTAACCTTTGTTGCTTTTTCAAATCTTTTTGTTGCTCATCTTTTGCCCTGCATTAGAGCAAGTTAAGGTTGATTAGGGCTTGGTAGGATATCAATTTGGGATGAAAGAGAGGCTGTTCTAAAATTGTGGGAAGGAACTATGAGAATGATGGGAGATTAGTAAATACCACAGCCTTTCTCTGTTTTTAAGGCTTCTTTTTTTATAGTACAAGGACATAGCTTTTGTTTGTTGATCGTTTTAGCATAAACCAAAATGAGTTTCCAGTAATCTTGTTTCATGTTTAGTCTTTGTATAGTTACGGTCACAACTTTAGGACAATTATGGTTTCATTTTTTTTTTTAATTTAGTTTTTTGATTAGGAAATATTAAATTGATTTTGACTATATATACTTTTAATCTGAAAAAGCTTTTTAATGTTTTTGCATTTTTATAATGGACAAGTTTCTTTAAACTAATGATAAATAAATTAAGTATAAATATGAATTAGTAACTCTTAATTTATTCATATTTAATTTATAATTGATCAATTTTAAGCTTTTCAAGTTTTGATTGCGAGCAACTTTTATTGATAAATAATCTTTTGTTATTTGATCACTATAAATAGCTTTTATGTTTGGGCTGTTTGCAGGTACATTGCTAAGACATTGTATGGTGATGATGATGATGAAGATGTTACTCCTGAAAATAACGGCACAGTGGAGGAGCCAAAACTTTTAGGTCTTCATCCCGGATTAAATGAGAAGGTTTTCCTTGTTTTGATTTGACATTAATTATGTGAAAAATGAATCTTTATCATCTTCAGAAGCTTATTACTTTTTTTAATGTATGTAATGGAATTCTTTTTATCTTTTAGATTCTCTTGAAGAATGGTCCGTATGGGTTCTATGTACAGCTTGGTGAGGACAGGAAGGGATACTTGCCTAAAAGAGCTTCTGTTTCCCAAGTATGTATGCCTCATTTGTATTTATAATGTGACTATTAAATTTTGGAGCTTTAATTCCTGGTCTAGTGCCATTAACTGCATATATGTAAATGCTTAAGTTAAGCATCTATGCATCGTTTTGTTCTCAAGTAAATTAGGGATGAATACTTAGCCACTACTGATCATTAAGTAAGCCTTGTGATGTTAATCTGTGGGTCAGATGCAAAGAGTTGGGTCATGCTGGTTTGGTTTATTTGGTTATTCAAATCAAGCCTGCAAAATTCAAGAATTCCATGCATATGCGGAGCGGATTGATATCAATAAATCTAAACATAAATTTGTGTGTGATGTTATCATAAAATCTATAAACCTAAGACTGAACATACACATATGCAGAGATTCTAGAATGCTCTCGCATGCTTTTCTCTCTTTATGCAAGCATTCATGTTCTGACACATGTTCTCTTGGAAGAAGAATACACCTGGTGGAATGTGTCTTTTAGTTTGGGTATTTGTGTTGTGAATTGCAATAAAAAAAAAGTTAATGTTAGATTAACATTAATTTTTCCCATATTTTATTATATTAATAATATGTGCATGGACTTTGTTAACAAAATAAACATTTAAAGGGACAAAGTGCACTTTTCTTTTTCTTTCCTTTATTTTTATTTTATATTTTAAATAAAGCGAAAAAAAGATGGATTATAAAAGATTAGGGACACGTATAAAATTTCGAAGGGGCCAACTTGAAGAACTCTTATACAGGTATAGGTTGATTTGTAATTTTAAGAGAGTTGAGGTGGGCGCTGCCCTCTCTGGGCCAATGCTGGGTCTGCCATGAGTCACATGAAAATCTAGCTTCTTCTGTTGATGATACCCATTTCCAGAGTGTTTTCTTTTCTTTTTGTTGTCAGTATTGTAGATGCAGACTGCAGTAGTCATTGTTGTTTTTCCTATTATTATCTGAATCCAGTAGTATGTCATTTTTATTGTGGTTAATGAATAATTTTTGTTTGTTGATATATAGCCTCTGTTCCTCATGTTTCATCAGTATTGAATAATTAAAAGTAGAATACAAAAATATGCATGCTGATGACACTAGTCACATCATCCTCCCAGAATATCCCTACTACTTTTGTAGTTTATTTCAGAAATTCCATTAATCTTTAAAGCAATATTTTTTCTTATACTTGACCTTGCAGGTTGTTTTTTTTCACTACTTCCATCCATGTTTTTTAAGATTAAGACTTCTCGATTTTTTGGAAGGTTCTCCTGTACCTGCATAATCCTCACTGACTGAATAATGACTCATTTGTTATTCCTGAAAATCATCGCTGCTTCGGGCAGCTATCATTTGGTCATCAATCTGTCTCAGTCTCAGACTTGCTTTGGATCATTCGGTCATCAATCTTCTTTTGTACTTCACGTCTTTCATCTTTTCCTTGTCTGGGTCCAACTCATGAAACATTTTGGTATTAGAATATCTAGCTTTGTGCCAATCTAATTTTGTTGAAGTTGAAAGTCGCCTGTCATTCATTGACATGTTAGCTTCTTCTAATTTTTAATTCAGTTTTTATTGGTATACAATTTTACCATGCGAAACTTGTTTGGTTCCTGTTTTCAGGATTTACTTTTCAAAAAATTGAAATTTTTTGTCTTCTGTATTTTTTTTATTTTCACTGAATTTTTTTAATATTCTAAGCAAATTTTTTTTAATTTTTAGATATACCTAACATAAATACACTTAAAAAGTATAATATTTGTGAAATAAATCTTTAGAAACTTCACTAATACACAAATAAATAAATAAATAAATAAAGAAGAAAAAAATGAGAATTTAGTACATTTTTTGTATTCTTGTGTATTTATTGATTTTTTAAAATATTTTTTTTATAAATATTTTACTTTTTAGATATATCTAAGTAAGGGGCATCTAAAAAAGTAAAAAAAATTGCCTAAAATTTTAAAAATATTTACTAAAAACAAAAAACTTAATTTCTAGAAAATTGAATCCATAAAATTGAAACCAAACATTATTATTATTATTATTATTATTATTATTATTACAAAAAACTTAATTTCTAGAAAATTGAATCCATAAAATTGAAACCAAACATTATTATTATTATTATTATTATTATTATTATTATTTATTTTTTTTGTCTTTATAAAAAGGATGCAAATAAAAGAATATAACTAATGTATGACTTATTTGCAATTATATAACTATAAAATGTCAAAACAAAATTTAGTAGTTTGTTTAATGCCCCTTCTTAAAAACCTTAACTTAGTGAAGCTTCTACTAAGGTTTTTAAATGCCAAAGTTGGTATGTATTAATGTATTTTTCATCGATTTTTTTCTATTTTTATTATAGAGAAAATGATTCCTTCCCCTAAGGGGAGTACTTGGAGGATAACTGCACTTGGCCATGATGCAATAATTTGGTGCCCAAAAATGCTGGCTGTTGTTGGTTAATCTTAGACTAGAAAGTACGGATACGGATATGAGGTAAGGATACGATACGATACGGATACGGCGACACAGGAAAACCTAAAAAAGTAGGATACGGGTACGGTTAGGATACGTTTGTAAAAAATAAAAAATAAATAAATTATTAATAGTGAGTTACACATAAGCTCAAAAATGTTGAGAAACCACAGAAACTTTATGATGCAAAATATTAATCTTTAAAAACTAGTTATTAATTTAAGGCAGTAGCTAGTTTAGTTTTTAAATTTTCAATAGGTTTTGCAAATATTTCATTTCAATATCAAGTCTAATATGTTGATATTATAATATCAAAACAGTCCACAACTTGACACTATGCTTTTTCCTTTTGCACTAGTCAAAAATATTCTATGCAAGTTTATTTGCTTGTTTATTTATTGATATTTAATTTTACTATTGTTATATTATCTTATTAATCTTTACTTCTATGTAGTTATAGGGGACATGCATGATACAATGAAGATATATCAATTTGATGAATTCTATTACTTTAGCTTACTATGTTATTTTTATAAAAAAAACTAAGCAATGTATTGTAAAAATATTCTATTTATCCGCTCAATTATATTATATTGTGATGTTATGTAAGAAATGATACAATTCTAATTTTGTAAAAGGAGTAATATGTGACTTGGAGCATTTAATACTTCAAAATTAATTAAGAAGTATCCGATAATATGTGACTTGGAGCATCCGATACTTCAAAACTAAGTATCCGATACTTCAAAATTAATGAAAAATTAATTAAGAAGTATTCGATACTTTTAATAAGTATCTGATACGTATCCGTAAGTATCCAAGGAGTATCGGTATCCAATACGGATACGATACAGATATGTCTTCCTATTTGAAGTATCCATGCTTCATAGATCTTAGAAGTATGGATTATGTGGATGCTCTCTTAGGTTTCTTGGTACATCAAGGCACCTACCAATGGAGAATCGGAGATTGACCTTGGTCCATGCCTTCATTTTATATTATTGTTTCAATATGGCAGTTCATGCATCTGTAAACATGGCCTGTTCCTTTCACCCCCTCAAAAAAATTCAATGATAAAAAATGGCATGCCTGTTATTTAATTCATACATATTTGACTACATTTAATTCATACATGTCTGTTTTTTTGATAAATAACATTTTTTTTTTCTCTCTCTATTTTTTTTTTTTTTTTCAGGTAAAAGATGTAAACTCTATTACCCTGGAAGATGCTATTGATTTGCTACGTTATCCTGTGACATTGGTATGCCTCCATCTAAATAGAGTTCCTTTTTCTATTTTCTTTTATTTTATAGTTTTTGTCACCGTCAAACTCATTTTTCTCGCATCTATGTTAGGGAAACCATCCTGACGATGGCCAGCCAGTTGTGTTGAAGCTTGCAAAGTTTGGATTTTCCATTAGACATCGGCGCACAATTGCACCTGTACCCAAGGTATATCTTTCTTTGTTAAGCATGCCTTTATTAAACAGTTATGATCTTTTAAAGACTTTTTCTTCACTAAATTCAGCTTAAATCTCATATCATAGTAGTCATTTTAACATAAGAAGAAAATTTGGCCCACCATATTAGCCTCCTATAGCAAAACTTTATGAATGGGTTCTTGAAACTGGACAGCTAGTGGAGGCAGCTTAGTTGCACGAAACGGGAATGGGAGAGGGAGCGTGGCCAAGTAAAAGAATTTTAGTTTGGGAGCATTTATATATTATTTTTATTGAAATATTTTTAATTTATCTATATAAGCATTTTTTTAAAAATTTTAATTAACATATATATAGGTTATAAATGAGTTTTAAATTTTTTATTTTTATGCAATATTTAATTAATTAAATACAACATAAAAAATATTTTTAAAAATGAATAGCAAATAAAAATTCATTCTAAATATAAAAACAAAATAATCATCTAAAAAATATAAAAAAAATAAATTAATAAATTCAAACATTATAATAATATTTTAATTTCATTCACATTAATGCTATCATTAAAACACATAGTCCAATAAAAATAATGGAGTGATATTCTTGAACCTGTAAACGCAGAGACTAATAAAAGTAGTGGAGTCATATTTTTTAAAACACTTAAGTCATTACCTTTGAATAAAATTTGTTATATTTTTTTAAATAAAATAATATTTATGTTTGTTTTAGAGAGAGAGAATGAGAGCGACAGATGAAGAAGAGAGAGAGATCAATACAGAGAGAAGATTGAGAGCAGACAGAGATCGGGAGTGCTTCTTTCTTGCATCAGATATGCGTTTCCCTCTCTTCAAATTTGTGATTCTACTCCAATTCTTCCTTAGAAGTGCAAAATTGCGCTTCTTCCTCAGATTCATGAGCATCTAAGATGATTCCTGCTACTAAGGGAGGCAGCTCAGTTCAATGCTGGGGTGTATATAGTTCGATTCTCAGCCATACACATTTCGGAGCATTTTTATCAGTTTGTGAAGTAGGTGTAGAAGATGCATAGGCTAGAAGTAGAAAATCTACCCTTAATGTGGCATCATTGGGGGGAGGGGTGAATTATTTTAGATGAATAGGAACACCTAATAAAAATGGAAAATGAACCAATGGAGAACTATGTTAATACATATGTAGAAGTGTTATTAATGGAGTGAAATATAGGTAGTCAGAGTTATTTTGAGGTCCCAAAATAAGGAGATACTGACATTGACATTGAATACTGAACAAGTTGTGCAGACAACAATGAAAAGAATTACTAAAGCGTTGCATGAAAGTTTGTAAAACATAACTAATAAGTAATGATTTGGTAAAACAAAAGAACGGATTTCCAGCATGAAATGCTCATCAGGTAACAACAGGCTTGAGTTGTCTATATATGCTTAATATTGATTAAATTACGCTTGTACCATGCATATATGACATACTTTTAACTAACAAGTACCAACTGATTCCTTTTTGTGTCTTCCCCTTGTGAGCTGGGATGATTGAATCTCAAGTGCCTTGCCATAGATATATTCTGTGCTTGATTTCAAAGACTATACTTAAGGCAAAAGGGACAAATGTAATGCCTCTCCAAAACAAGGAGGGAAATAAAAAAAATAAGAAAAGAAAGAAAGGAAGAAACATACAACTATAGGGAGTATTTTTTATTCTTGCAAAAGCTATGCACAACTTTTCTGAATTATTGAACTGTTGGAAATGCTTCAGTGACAAAACTATAGCTCTGCTAGAGGGCTGCCCCATTAAACTAACAAGAAGAGAGAGAGAGAGTATAACCAACTGGGCTAGTCTAGTTGACCGGAACACCTACATCTCATTAGGAGGTTAAGATTTCAAGTCTTGTCACAGGCAACACTCCCCTTAGGATAAGGCCTTTAATGTACCCCCCAAAAAGAAGATAAGACTATTAATTTAAATAATAAATATATGAATAAACATTTAGGAGTGCAGTCATACGGATTTAGCAGACGGGCTGATATATGGACAAACAGCTGCATACTATATGATACCTTGAATTTAGTGGGTGTATAATCAAATATACCTTTTGGAGTGTAGTCATAGAGATTGAGTTTTGTTGTTTGGAATGGATATGTGATTCATTTAGCAATGTCCTAGCATGTAAATCATGACTGGCAAACAATTGTTGCCCCTTGAACCCAACTGGTGAATTCCTCTTGTAAATCTTCCTGTCATAAATATTTCAAAATTCGGATTAAGTGGATGGAAAATTGGATCAAGAAATTGGGGGAAAAAAATGGAAAGGTGGATCTCTTACAAACTCAAGTGCAGATTTGTGGTATTACGATCTTTAAAATGTATCTCAAGAAAGTCTGGTGAGGAGATTCACCCTGTTGATGAGATTATTATTTCTTGATTAACTTTTTTATTTGTTTTCCTATGCTGGTTCTTCTACTACCAACATGCACATTTTTCCTGCTTCCAAATGACCGCTGTTTGAACCTTCGGTCTATATTTTTTTAATTGAGAATTTGTTTCACATCAAAAAGAAGAGAAAAAATAATGCATGCATAACATTCACCGTATCTAGTTACCCATATAAGTTTGCATGAGATTGTGAGTCAAGTTTTGGGATCCAAACTCCATTGCCTATTAGTAGAAGGGCAAACAGAAACGAAACACACACACACCAAACAGAAACGAAACACACACACAACCAAAAAAAAAAAAAGAAGCAAAACAAATACATATAATCTAAAAAACTGCCAAAAAAGAAAAAACAAGAAGCAAAACAAAACTAGTCTTCTTGTTTGTGAATAGATTGTATGTAATTAATTATATATTTGTTTTTCTCTTTATTTATTTATTTATTTATATAGATTTCTTGTTTGTTAACTCTTATTTTGCTTGCATGGTTTTTGCCTATTTAAACCTTTTCTACAGAACTTGAAGCCAAATGATATTAGTTTTGAGAAAGCATTAGAGCTTTTGTTGAGTAAAGATGTAAAACGTTGTGGCCGACCCAAGAGCAAACCAAAGCTTCAAGAGGCCATCGAGGCGATATAGGAATGACAAATTCTATGGCCAAGCTTGAGTACAGAAAATTTAAATGTCTATGAAGTTGGTATGCATATATAGACATCCATTTGCTGAATCATCTCCAATTCTTCCATTTGGTGAAGTTTGATCTGAGCCCATTGCAGGTTGTGTCTAACTCAACTCACACATATATGTGATGGCTGGAAGTGTAGAGTAATGGATGGTAATAGTAACCAATTTTGTTGTAATTCATGATTAAGCTTATAAATATTGTGGCCAACTTTGATTTTCCTTGTGATGTTTCATTCTAAAAGCAATCGAGTATGTAGAGTGTCACACGGGTTCCTTTCTTAATTTTTTTTTTTTTTTTTTTTAGAAAAAAAGGTGTCACAGTTATGCTACATTTGTTTTGATGAAAAATATTTTTAGTGAAACATGTTTTCCAGTGTTTGCTTGCAACATTGAAACTAATGTGTTAGAGGTGGTGTTGGTTGTTGTGCTGGTGGTAAAGGTGGCGGCAAGGTGGTGGTCTTGTTAAGTGTTTTATTGGTAAATGTTTTTCTTCTTTTAAAAGTTGGAAATGTTTCATTTGAAATGAGTTCGTTTTTTGTTGAACATGAAAATTGAGTTTTTATTTTTTATTTTTTTTGGGTTAAGCTTTCATTTTTACCAAATATTAGAAAATATAGAAAAAAAAAATTAAAAAAAAAATATTTTTTTGTCTGAACAAATGGATATTAAGATAAATAATTTTGGACAATTTGTACTTTACTACCCACATATCAGATTACTTGGATTAGTTATGGTAAACAATAATTCTAGTTATCATAAAAAGTAAATCAAAATTTTAGCAAGTGAAGTTGTGGGTCATATATATTTTAACAGCAGTGATTGGTACCCCTAGTTTTGCATCATTAAACCATCACTAATGAGTTGGAAAATCAAAAAAAAAAAAAACAAACAAACAAACAAGAGCAAAACATCTCATCATGTGGGACTTATACCAACATTAAAGCTATACCAACATTAAAGCTTAGTGTTCCTCTTTTAGTGGTCTCAACCATTTTTCATATTTTGATTATGTGCAATATTTTATATGATTTTATTTAGATATGTAACACAATCAATATATTGTAAATATTTCTTTAATTCATTACAATCACTCAGACTCAACAATAGACATATTCACTGACAGTATCTAATATATATATTGAATATAGAAAAATGCTTGGGAGCACTAATTAGTGCTCCCACTAATTAGGTGGCAGTGGGTCCCGCCATTAATGATGTGATGTTTTGGTCTTGGAGTTGTATTTTTTTTTTTTTTTACTTTTTTAATGCATTAGTGCTATTAGTGGTGATATTTTTAGTGGGATGAATCATTGTTGATTGAATATAATATCAAGAATGATACATCTCTCTAAAACTAGAGCTCTAATTGAGCTCTAGTGAGGTGGAAAGTCAAAAAAATAAAAATAAAAATAAAAATATAATAAGAAATAAGTTCAAAACATCATATCAAATACACTCCATATACATATTAGAGCTCACAAATTAAAATTCTAAAACATATATAATATAATATATATATACACACACACATCCCCTCCCTTTCCTCCAACCCCTTTCCCAGAACCACAATAGGCATGAGGCGCCATACCAACAATATTGGTTGCAGCAGCTCAAAAAAAAAAAAAAACCATATTGGTTGCAGCCAAGCCCTCATGGGCAAAGTGCACACCCAGCTTGCCAACCACATTGCTCTGTGGTAAATTAGCTTTGGCAACGAACCACAATAACCACAATAGGCATCTGAGGTGCCACACAAACCATATTGGTTGCAGCAAAGCCCTCCTGGGCAAAGTGCATCCCCAACTGGCCAACCACATTGCTCAGTGGTAAATTAGCTTTGGCAACGAACCACAATAGGGATCTGTGGTGCGACACTAATCATATTGGTTTTAACCAAGGATGGACTCAGAGTGGGGTAAGAGGCGTTGATCACCCCCTTATGATTTCAAAATTCTCCGTTATTATAGTAGTATTAATTATAATTATCTTCAAATTATAGAGGTTCGCCCCCTCTAAATATTTTTTTACAGATTTTAAGTGGTCATCCTCTTTTGATTTTTTTAAAGGTTTAAGCTGTTGCTTTTCTATACCTATAAAATTAAAAAAAAAAAAAAAAATTAGACAAAATTTAATAAAATTAATAATTTATAATATTTTTTTAATAACTACCATTGATAACAAGCCCTATTTTGTAGATTTAAAAAAAAAAAAAAAACCTTATTTGTATATGTTTTCATCTTATTTTCGCTTTTTATATGTCGATAGAAAATTGATATTGGAATCCATACTTTCTATTTTAAATTTTTATTAGTATGTTTATTTTCGCCCACCTTATATGAAAATTCTGAATCCGTCCCTAACTGCAGCAAAGCCCTCCTGGGTAGAGTGCACCCCCAGCTTGCGAACCACATTGCTTTGCTGAGCCTTTTATAAGATGGCTTTGAAAAAATGGAATGGAGAGGTGTTTGGGGATGTCTCAAGCAAACTAAAAGCAGTTGAAGATGAAGTGAATAATCTTGATCTCAAAGCTGAAGTAAGAGACTTGGTAGAGGCAGAAAAAGTAAAAACAAGAGAAGTGATTAGTGAAGCTTGGAGGTTGAGCAGAATGTCAGAATGGATGTGGCTCTAGAAAGCTAGATTAGACTGGTCTTTGAAAGGTGATAAATACAAGATACTTCCATGTCATGGCAATCAATAGACGAAGTAGGAATGGTATTAATACCATCACTATTAGGGAAGAGGTTTATGAGGATCCATTGATAGTAAAACATGAAGTCTACTTCTATTTCAACAGGCATTTCATTAAGGACTGGAGAAGCAGGCCTACTTTGGCAGGTAACTTTAAGTCTATCAGAAATAGCAATGCATGTGTTTTGCTTGAGGCAGAGTTTTCAAAAGCAGAAGTTTGGAATGCTATTAAAAGTTGTAAAGGTAACAAGGCCCCAAGTCCAGATAGGTTTAACTTGGTGTGTTTTCAGAAGCACTAGAAAGTAACGAAAGGGGAATTCATTCAGTTTATGAAGGAATTTCACACACATGGCAGATTGGTCAGTGGAATTAATAACTCTTTTATAACCTTGATTCCAAAGAAAGAGAACCTTATTAGCTTGGCAGATTATATACCCATTAGTCTGTTGCGATAAGTGTGTATGATTTTGGCTAAGGTACTCTCTAACAGATTAAAACGTGTTATGCCTAAAATTATCAATGAAGATTGGTCTGCTTTCTTGAGTGGTAGAAATATCCTAGATGTGTGTTGATTGCAAATGAAATTGTGGAGGGGTGGAAAAAAATTAAAAAAGAGGGGTGTGATACTTAAGCTTGACTTTGAGAAAGCCTTCAATTCTATTAATTAGGAGTTTCTTTTCTCTATGTTATCTAGTTTTGGTTTTGGTAAGAAGTGGATTTTATGGATCAAGGAGTGTGTGTCCACAACTAGATTATCTGTTCTGGTGAATGGTTCACCAACAGATGAGTTTCATCCTAAAAAAATGTAACAACCATTTCTTTAATTAACTGTTAATTCTGTAGTTTGTCTTGATTATGTGTTTATGTATTGATTATGTGCCATGTGTTATTTACATGATGATAATGTGAACAGATATATTAAGAATAGGAATTGAACCTGTCTGTATCAGTAAACCATAAGATTAAAAAATTAAATAGCTGAATAGGAAATTAGAGCCTAATTCCTATTAGTATGATTTAGCTTAGTTTCCAGTACATGAGATTTAGGATGATTAATTAAGAATATCATGTGATGTAAATTAAGTTGAGAAGTATTAGTAGTTTAAATCTAATATAGGCATAATATTAAACTAGAGACATAAGTAAGAGAAGAGGTGTATAGGTTGAGTCAAACACTAGAGAGAGAGAGAGAGAGAGAGAGAGAGAGTTGTAGAGAACTCAGGAAGAGGAAGAAGAAGAACAAAGGAGATCTTCATAACTTAACCATCTAAGGTAGGATTTCTCTCCTAATTTCTTAGATTTGAGATATCTACATTCCTATCCTCTTGTATTTAAGCTTAATTAAGAAAGAAATCATGCATAATTGTGAGTTTGAGGATGTAAATTCATGTTGGTGAGAATTAGCTCTAAATATCAACATGCATGGCATAATTTCATGAAATTCTTGTTCATACTCAAGACTTCTTGTATGATTCTTCAACAATG